AGATGTTAGGAGAAATGTTTTCCCTGTGAGGATGTTCAGGCACTGGAATATTGCTCAGGGAGGTGGTGGAGTCACCATCTCTGGTCTGATACTGGAGGATATGGTTAAGGGTTCCAGCAGTGACAGGTTAATGATTGGACTTGATGATCTTAGAGGTCTTCTCTAACCTTGATGATCCTGTGGTTCTACGTATACTTTTGACAAATATGGAGAAGAAGACATGAAATGTGGAGAAAACCACTATCCTGTGATTCTACGTACACTTTTGACAAATATGGAGATGAAGACATGAAATGTGGAGAAAACCACTTTTCTACTGAAATAAATCTGATCACTTGAGCTCAAAGCTGCATTTCAGGTAGGTAACACCTACCTATATTTTTTCAGAATTTAGTCTATAGAAGATATCTGGAAAACTCACTACAAATCCCATGCTCTACTTAGTGGTTTTTATTTCCTTGAAACATCTAGTATTGTGCATATTTTCTCACTTGAATACTGAAAACTGGTAAACAAGACTGTTGTGCTTATAACTGCAAATCCATTTTTATCAGATGCACGTGCATATTATGGACACAGTACAACAAATAAAGTGAAGTATAAAAATTAGCAAGGAACCATTTCAAATTCTACAACAGGTAGGAACTGTCTCCCCTTCACAGAGGTCAACCTGTAACCAAATGGAACACAAACAGGACATTGTGCACCATGAATTTGTTGAGCATTTCTTCAGACACACACACCAAAAAAAATAAACCAGGGATATTTTATAACAATCAGGTTCTCAAATGAACCATCACAAGTGCACCCCTCTTCATCTTTAGAGACATTTTACCCCCACAGAAAGATAAAAGATCCCATTACGAGTCATCCTGTGGCATGTTCATAACTAATCCAGGAATGTTTACCTTAAGCTGACCTAACACCAATTTCTATTAAACATACTGTATCTTTCAAACTAAAGAATGCAGGCTCCTGTCCCAAATCAGAGTCAATTATCCACGTGGTATTTCAAAAATCCTTTTAAACTTCCAAGACACTGGTCAGAGGGTGATTAAAGCTGAACTCAAATGAAAAACTGAAACTGAAAAACTACCTAATATTTTCATCTTTTAGGATGATACTCAAGAGGCAGTCCAAGGCACGGACAGTAAGCTGATTTCTGATTACCTACATCATACTTTAAAGGCCTTAAAGGAAAAGTTTTCAGAACTAAAATCAACTAACTCAAATATCTTCCCATAAATGGAGTGGTCACTTCAGCAGCTAAGCCATGCTGCAAGGCAGAGGGGCTTGGATTGATCACTTAGGAGTCTGGGCCCAATAAATTAAGAAAATCCTCCAAAATCTAAAACAAAAAGGGCAAAAGGCCAAAGCTGCTATTGCTTTTTTTCTTTTTTTTGGGGGTGCACAGAGTGGGGGGAAGAAGAAAAGAACAAAAAAGAGAGTTTAATCTAAGTGGCAACACTGAGAAATGACACTACTAGAGTTTTACTTTGGTTTTAAATAAGACACCTGGTCACCACAGACAGGATATTTTGCTGAACTCATTACAAAGTAGTGAGGAAAAGCCAATGTAGTTCAAAGAAGCAATAGCATATAGTACCTGCAATTAGCTGGTAAGAAATTCTGACAGACTTTTAAAACCAGGGGAACAGCAGGTCAGATGCACACACAGAGGCACTTCTTCCCACCATGTGCCACAGCCCTGCACCTCCCAAATGAAACACTTACACCCCCTCTCTCAAAATCAAAGGGTGACATGGGAGACAGTCCAGTTTGTGTCTCCAGCATCCTGGGCAACAGCTTTAGCCACTGCAGAAGGAAAATAACTGCTGCAGAAGTTCAAAGCAGAGAGAAAATTGTCGTTCCACCTCTCTTTGGTCTAGTTGGTAAAAAAGACCTGAGGTTTCCACTGCACCTGAGACCAGCACAGCTGGACAGATGTGCAACAAGGCCTGTCTTAAGAGTATCTGCCAGATCCAGCCTTTCCAGGAAAACAGAGGACTGTCTCAGCACAAGGACCCAAAGCAGACTGCCAAGATGCTCAGTGGCTCCAAAGCTGAAGCTGCCAGCACCTGGCACTTCCAAAGTCAGGGATGGCACCACAGGGTCTCTAGGGACTGCAGTGACTGCTCACTGCCTGCTCTGTGGGGACGTGGAAAAGAGCAGTTGGTTGCTTTGCTCATCCACATCATGCCAAAGCCCTGTTTTAAATACTCATACCCTCTTTTTTTTTTAAAGTCAGACAAGGTTATTTTTGTAAGACAAAACCACCAAATTGAAGCATTTACAATTACAGCCACAGTCCAGAACCCTTCCAGGCTATAGCTCCAGTACAAAGCCATGACGTGGAACCTTCAAATTCATCCTTGGGAGCTCACTGCTGCTTGCTACATCTGCTCCTCCACACAAAGCTGGAAGCAGGAAGAAAAATAAGCTCAGCTATCTGACGAAAGTTATACTTTACCCAAAAGAAGAAAGCCCTTGCCAGGAACTGGAAGAAGCTAAGAACACAGGTTGCTTCCCAGCAAGTGCAGTTTTGCAAGGAGAGTTAATAGCTGCAAGAGGCTGTTGAGGCATGTGAGCTGGGAGAAAAGAGCAAATCAAACAATTCAGACAATCATAAAACTAAAGTTGGGGTATTTTTAGGACAGTGGAATTGATCTAACAGCTTCAATAAAGCACAATTAATCTTGGCTCTTTGAGGCAGAAAAGCACTCCATACCCTGAATCCTAATTACACTCCTTCCCAGAGCTTCCTCCAGCCCACAGTGATTTGCAAACAATTAGAGCCTCACAATAGCCCTGGTGGGCAGCAATTAGCCACCCCAGAGGAGATGAGCGAACTGGCTGAAGGAGCAGCCCACCACCAGGAAAAACACAGGTGGATGAACCCATTCCCTAGCCCCTGCCATCCCTGTGCTCCAGCTGGAGCACAAAGCTGCTTTTCACACCAACCAGGATAAACTCAGCCTGACAAAAGGGCATTCCCAGGGCGGCACCAAATAGCAGGGATTTCTTGCCTGGCTCTGCAAGGCTTCTCAGCAGCTCTCCCTAGGACTCATGTCCTTCCTGAGAGAGGGATGGAGGTTTATCAAGGTGACCCCTGCTGGGTATCAACCACCCTACCACACAGGAGCCCTAACTGGTGACCACAACCCCATGGGTGGCCCAAGGCAAGACCCAGAGCTGAGATGCTCTGAGGACCAGTGCTGCCTCCACCTTTACCTCTTACAGCCCAGCCAGAGAGTACCTGCATCCCACAGGGCATAACTGGCTAGGGTGGAGGTTTTTGAGCAGCACCAAGGCAGGATACAGCCCAGGACACTGGGCATGAAGCTGCTGTTAGCCAGTGGTAGCTCCCAGCACAAAGGTCTGGGAACATCTCTAGGACTTTCACACCATCTTGATTTGATTTCTCTAAAAGTTCTCAACTCAGATGTTTAGAAAGTTGTTACTTTCACTCAGGCCTCCCTAAAATGCATGATTTTGATAGATAAGAACACCATCAGTTATGCAAGGCCACTAATGACAACAGCTCGATGTCCTGGCTTTACACCAGCCACACACTCTTCACTGAATTTTGCAAAATTATATACACATGTTTTGATATAATACAGTACCCATTAGAAAGTACTTCTTATTAGGCTTCTACCACCAGAAAAACAAAAAGTTGCAGAATTTATTTGGGCAAGTACATAAGAGAAAGGATGGAGGAAGACTCCTCCAACGGCTGTAGCAAGGCTCTGTTTCCTTTGTAATGATAAGAGCTCACCACACTCAAAGATAAGAACAGACAACATTAGATTTCAGCATAAATAACTACTGCTCCAAGCATTTATTCACTCAGGGAAATACACAACATCCAAGCCCTTACATTATTTCCAAGATGGGCTTTGCCAGATCAAACACTGCCACTAGGTAAACTGGTTTCTGTTGAGTTGGGACTTTTTTCAATCTGGCATGTAGAAACAAATTGTAACAAATTACTTAATCATTATTCCTCAATCCCAGAGCTCCAGGAAAGGTGGACATGAGAAATGAGCAGAGTTCAGGCATTCCACTGGAGAGGTTGGTGTCCTGTGCTCCCCAGGACTTCTAAATCCCTAGATGTGATGCTGAGCTCTTGCTCTGGCATCAGACCACGGTGTGGGGAGGGAAAGACCACACCAGGGAAAGGTCAGTGAGTGGAACTGTGCACCCTCTCTCCTGGGATGGTGCAAATTTCATTGCAGCCCTGGGGCACTGGTTATTCCTCCTCGGCCCTGCTCCCCATGGGCTGTTTCCCCAGGCAGGCAAACTGCCACAGCAAAGCACTCACAGCTGCTTATCTCAGTCCTCTGCCACCAGCCTAGGTCAGGCCAAGCCTATTTTTATAGCCCTAAAGGCCACTGAGCCAAATGCTTTGATTCTCACATTACAAGTGAAAATACCTGGAACTGTTTTCCACCTGAAAACAGACAAGGAATACACAAGCTGCTGCTACAGTCCTGAAAATTGTTCAGACACAGGGCACTACTTGGGGCAACACACAAAAAAAAAAAAAGAAGAAAAAAAAGTCTCTTTTTTGGTAGGTACTGTAAATAATGCAGAATAGACCAAACCAGTACTACTTAAACTTTACCACCATAGACATGCTCAATTGTTTTATTGGGAGGATGTTTTTCCTATGAGGGTGGTGAGACACAGAAATTGTGGATTCCCTATGCAGGAAGTGTTCAAGGCCAGGTTGGATGGGGCTTTGAGCACCTTGGTCCAGTGGAAGGTGTCTCTGTCCATGCCAGGGGGTTGGAACCACATGATCTTTTAGAACCCTTCCAGTCCAAACCATGCTATGATTTTCCTGCCTTTTTCTGTGCCATTTGATCTCCACAGCATGAAAATAAAAAGCCACCACAGCTGTTTACTGGATTAGTCTTGCACAAGCTGGTGGTCAGTCTCTAACCAGACACAACCCAGCCCCTCCTTTCCAAGCACATGTCCTTCCTCACCTTTAATATTAGCATTGTACACAAATAACATTTCAACACAACCACCTGCAGTTTCACCTTACCCATCTTGGCATCTCTGTGCCTTTGGAGCAAGAAATCCCCTCCAGAAAGGCAAGCAGAGGGGGCCAGAGCAGCACACACAGCTCAGTGGGCTCAGGGGACAGCTTTGCAGGTAGTGTCCTGACCTCCTGCTCCTATCCTTCCTTCCAGCTCATGCCTCCCAGCCAAACACTAACAGAGAAGTCATCCTCTTGGGAAAGAGCTTATAAGCATGCATTCTCCTTTCATGCCTCCCAGCCAAACACTGTAACAGAGAAGTCATCCTCTTGGGAAAGAGCTTATAAGCATGCATTCTCCTTAAAAAAATGTTACGGCAAAATAAGGAGATAAAATAGAGGGAAAAAACCTGCTGATCCAAATTCCAGTTGTGGGCAAGGCTAGATAACATTTTGTCAAGAGTCCAAGCTTTCAATAAAGTATGTGGATTTCTCCCTCTCCTGTGCAAGGCTTCAGAGAGCTGCTCCTTAAGAAAACAAAACCATGGATACAGAGAGTGAGCACTACCAATTTCCTTTACTAACATGATTATTGTGGCATCTTCCTCTCCTCAATCTGCTGCATTGAAAATAAAAATGTTTTGTTGTTTGGGGCTTTTTTTTAATTAGTACTCAGATTGAGCCTTTATCCACCTGTAACTTGTTTTAGTATCCTGGACATGTTTTAAGACAAAGGCAAGCTGTTTTGAAGACTGTATTGGGACAGACCTTTTAATATAATCCTATGAATATTTGGATCCTCATGAATTCATTTTGCCTTTCACCCCTCCAAAAGGTAAAAAGGTTTATGGGGATACTCACTTGCACTCTCTAACAAAAATACAAATCTTCAATGTAACTATGACTCTCTCCTGCTACAATCACAGAATCAAAGAATTTTACGGGTTGGAATGGACCTTAGGGATCATCTAGTCCCCACTCCCTGCCCTGGGCAGGGACACCTCCCACCAGAGCAGGTTGCTCAAGGCTCATCCAACCTGGCTGTGAACACTGCCAGGGTTGGGACAGCCACAGCCTCCCTGGGCAACCTGGGACAGTGTCTCACCACCCTCACAGGGAAAAACATTTTCCTAATATCTAACCTAAATTTCCCCTCTTTCAATTTGTACCCAGTGCCCCTTGTGAGCAATGAGAGAAATGAGGCAGTGAGATATTGCAGAATAATGGGTGAGGTTGGGAGGCAGTGGTACCTGCAAATGGCAATAAGATTGTTTATGGTATTTTCATCGAATCATAGAATTTTAGAGGTTGGAATGGACCTTACAGATCATCTTTTCCCAACCCCCTGCCCTGGGTAGGGACACTTTCCACTAGCACAGGTTGCTCAAGGCTTCATCCACCCTGGGCTGGGGCAATGTTCATTACAATTTAATGAACGGGCAACCTAGATGGATTTCCCCATCTGAGTGCCAGGAATCCTCAAGCACTGTGGTCCCCTTCCTGCCTTTCTCTGAAATAGACTCTATCAGGAAATTATTTGCCTCAGACCTTGGGAAATGCTCAGGGCTACTAAAAGCTGAAGTATTGACAATTATGGCAGAACTGTCTGGACAGAGAGTATAAAAGAGCAGCAAAAGAGTTTTTGCTTTTTTGATTTCCAGGAAAAAGACAAAGAGCTTATCAATACCCTTTTTTTTCCTGTATGCAGTAAAAAAGATTTCAAATACACACAAGGGGAAGATAAGGAAGAAAGGACTTATCACATAACTGGCCAGAGCTCCATTCACAACCAAGAGGTACTCTGTAGATCAGTATGAAAGCTACTGCCCTGCAAGATTTTATTTAAAAGAAAAAATTAAGCAGGGACTCTATTTCCATTGCTGGCATGAAACATATGGAAGTGTATTTATCATGCCTACCACATTTACTTTTATTAAAGGAATAATAAGGGTCAGGTTCATATACAGAAGATGCTTCTTCTTGACAGTTTAATATCTTATATTTAAAGTTGTGAACTGTAAAGCTTTAGACGAGCTGAAGAAGAAATTAATTTCCTTTCAAAATGTTCTTCCTTCACGAGTTGCAAACAATGTAAGAATATTTCCAACTTGGAAAGTGCCCTGAGCTGAAAATGGAGGCTGGAAGAATGGCAAGGCAAAATATCCTAACTAAATGAAAAACACGGTTAAAACAGGCACAAAACAATCTTTTACTGATGTACCTCAAGCAAGAAGTTAAAGAAACACTGTCAACAACAAGACAAAAAGCTGCTTGAACCAACAGTTCATTTTTAAAGTTTTATTAGAGGTTATTTATAAAGGGGAAGATTCACAAATGTTTAAAAGAATCCTAAGTGGGTTTTTATATGCTAAGAGTGTGCAATGTGAAGAACTGTATAAACAGCAACTGCAACAGAGTATTGTATAAACAGCAACTGCCACACTAAGCTTGTAGGGAAGAGTGAAAAATCACTCTCAGTCCAGCACTCCTGATGAACTTGTTCCCAACACCTCCCAGAAGGAGCAGTTTTGCTGTCAAAATGCACAAAACTAACCTCATCAAACAGGAGGATGCATGAAACCTCCAACATCCCCTAATAAAAATGAAAGTAGTGATTCACTTACAAGCTAAACCACCTTGCAGTACTTACCATAAGGCGTTTGACAGTATTTTTGGCTACTGATGACATCTCAAGCTTACCATTAACATGTAACCTCAGAAGCAAAGATAGCAGGAGGTACGAAATCCAACTAACTTTGACCTGTTAGTCATGGCTACACCATAAGACTTTTTTTATAGGGATCAGTAAAGGACTCTCCAATTAGGCAAAGAAAAGCCCAGAAGCAACAGAAACTGATGAGCTAAATAATTATTTTTTTTACATCTATAACTTAGTTTTAAAATTTGTTATTACAGAAAAATAGAATCATTCAGTTTCTGTAAATATTTCTAAAACATGATCAATTTCCTTCCTAAGTCTCTGATCCAGCAGAGCTGTCAAGTAGAGATTCAGGTAAAGTGACAAATTAAACATTTACTTGGAAAATCATATTCCTTAGGGAGGCAGAACTCAGAATGCCACTGGAAATTAAGAGTTAAACACAACCTCCATCATTTTTTGTACCCGTTGCTTGCAAGCCCAGCGTGCATTTGCTAATTGCCCTAGGACACAAATCAAATAACAGTAGGAAACACAGTCTCTCACTTAGAAACATCTGCTCAGAGCCTGACTGAAATACAGTACACAAAGAAAGTTAACGTAGGTACGGAAGAAAAGTGCTGTTGTGCAGGAGATCGTCTCTAGTCCATCCTTCATGAATTAAATCCACATAAAATATACCCTCCAGCTGTGCTAGCTTGCTCTTACCTAAGAGATAAAATGCCCTGGGAAGGAGAAAGAAGTGTCTTAGAAGAAAAAAAAACCCCAAACAACAAAAGACAAGCAAATACGGTAGTTGGGCCATAAAACAGATGTCCTCACATAGGTTCAGTGCAAATACTGCACTTTAAACCCCTGTTTAAAGCAAATTAAGTCATGGGTGGTCCACTGCCCCATCTCTACTCTTAGGAAATCTAGTCTCGTGTTGGTTTTGTTCTGCTGATCCCACATGGGTCTAACACAGCCTGAGGATATACAGCCTCCTCCTCTCTTTTCCTGTGGCAGCTGCTTTTCATGTCCAGCATCTTCACATCTTTGAAACTTCCACCTTTGCATCAAAATTAACTGCAATTGGCCAGGGCTCAAGTTATTAAAGGGGAAACAAAACAGATACGGATATTGTTCTCACTTAAGCTTTGCTTCCCCAATAAAACAAAAACTTCTAACTTTTGGGCTCTACAGCTTGGTAGACCATCCTCTGAAATACAGCAGTGCTTTACAGACAGGTTAGAAAAGGCAGGTACTAATAAAGTATCTCTAATGGTCATGTAAAGCAAAAACCAAGAGGTAAGCTCTGCACCAGAAGCAGTTACCAGCAAACCCCAGATGTTTCTCAGCACAGGTCTCCATTTCATTTCTCCCAAGTAAAACCTGTTCAAAACCAAAACATTAAGCTATCTACCTAACTCCAGCTATGTTTAATGCTCTGCAACTCTCGCATTTGGGTTTTAGGACTCCAATTTCTAAGCCCTTTTAAATACAAACATTTCCAAATGGTTTAAGAGATTGTCAGAATTTACAGTTGGAAAAGGTTGTGTGAAACAGGAGTGGCTTTTCTTTACCAGCCAAAAGAGATTTGAGCAAGCTTGTGCACTGTAGATTCAGCAAAATGATTCACCTGAAACTTAACCAGAGAGAACAGCAGTTTGTTTGGTTTAAGCCTGCAAATTTCTGCAGTGGAAAGCTCAGGCACGAGGAACTAGCATTGGTGAACATGAACCTCATGATTGTTCTGGACCTAAATCAAGCAGCTGTAAACGGCTATTTTTAACTCTGAAAATTATCCACATCGTCCTTACCATCACAAAAGAGTGGCCTGACTTCCACGCAGCAGGGGAAAACACGAGGGTAAGCCTTGAACTCACTGGCAAAACTTCCACTAACCTTACCAGGGCTAGCATTTCATTAGGAATATATTGATAGCAAGGGATCTACCAAGCCACAATTAAGTTTTCTGCACTTTTTAACTCCATAGATAGGATAAACTCTGATCAAAAAAACCCAAACAAACAAAACAACTCCCCCAAGAAAGAAACCCAACAATGCTGAAAGCAACGTTATCCAGTGGCAAGGGTCAATGGTTCAGGAGCCAAAGAGGTTTTAATAAAATAAATATCAAACATGGTAAAGCATAAATTCCATGGAAAATATTGACTTTGAAAATACCTGACCATCTTTTCAAACATAAAAGCTACCGTTAAAAATCCTGGTTTTCATAAAGTACAAGACAGCCTCATCTGCTTTTAAGGAAGAATTACAATGTTAAACTGTATTATTTCTCCAAAGCTCTGCATGTTTGAATTCAGCTGCTGATGTTTTTGAACCCAAAGTTTGGCCCAGATTCCTTACTCCACAATGTCAGTGCAGCCTGACACAACCTTCTCCCTGGAGTTATTCACTGATCCATACTG